AGCCTCCCAAGTAACTGGGACTATAGGCACCTGCCACAATGCCCGGCTTTTTTGTTGCAGTTGATTAGCTGGCCTGGGCTGGGTTTGAACCCACCACCCCCTGTGCTACAGGCGCCGCGCTGATGGTAGAATTCTTTAGGTATAGGTTGTTCTCCAAAGTAGGATTCAAAAAAATTGTGTAGGGATTTTCCTCCAAAAGACACATAAAGCATTTAATTGACTTCTAATAGAAAGGTTTTTTGAATTTTATATCTCTCTCTATTTTATATATATATATCCCCATTACACTAGGGAGAAATGTCAGAAATAATAAAAATTTCAGATCTTTAGAAAAATATCACTAACATCTATAAGGAAGCCTATTCTACAGGCAGCTGTTTCTACCTCCTATCATCAGTAACAGAAGGTCCGCCTCCCTAAAGCCGGCTCCCATCATGACAGGTGAGTCCACAGCATCTCGGGGGCAATTCTACTTACATCTCCTATCATGACGGCCTCCTCAGGTTCACAGCCAGTACCCCGCAATGCTTCCAAAAAGAACGTCTTCTCTGGCTTTCCCACTACTGTGGCCTTGGTGTCTGTGGCATACTCTAAAGCAGTCACAAATGGCCCAGGCCCCAGGGCCAAGCCATCTTTCCTCTTGTAATACCTGGCTTTGTGGATTGCTATCAGAGGTGCCCCATCCAGAAGTAACCTAAGGAGACAGAGAAAATGAATATTGGCTAAAAGCAAGGTTTTTATGATGGTGAGAGAAAGTCAGACTTACAAAGAGGTTTTATTCACACGCACAGAAACAAATAGTTTCTTATTAACTTTTAATGACTTGCTGTCTTCTAATGAATTCACAAAGAACTGCTGGGAATTACACTCAGATACACTAAAGTAAGGTGATAGATTATTAAATTTGGGATTGCGTCAACCTTTTTCCTTTAGTGGTTTCATTTTACCCAAATCACCAGGGAAAGAGAATTAAGAGAACTAATGCTAAATAAGACACTCAAGGGAAGAAGCTTAACTTAATGAGACAAGTTGTTTCAACCTTCCCTAATGGTAGGCAGGAGGCTCTTGAGCCTTTTACAGTACTACACAATCGTTGCTGCAATGACATGTTAACTCCTAAAATATTCAAACTCCTGTTTCCTCTCCTCCAAGATATAAGTTCCTTTTTAATCGAGATTTAACAGAGCATTTTATAAAGACTTTGTTTACATTTTTACCTCTTTATTCTAGCTTTTGATATTACTTTACAAATCAGACCACCTTCCCAGAACAGACTACCAAGGGTTAAGGAGAGCTTTTGGTGTCGAGTCCCCTGCTTTGTCCTGAAACGGGACAAACAACACTCTCATACCTTTAGTTTGTTTTCCCTTTAGTTTGAGAAGCAAACGCTACACATAGCTAGAGATCCTCATTAGTGACAGGCAAAAAACCAAAACAAATTGAAAAACCTTCACAAATGATATCCACCTCCCCAAACCCACCCCCAAACATCTGTCAACATCTCCATGATGCACCCTTTAGTCACATGGCAGAAGTCCTCACACAATCGTCTAATGGCATGTGGGACACGATGTATATTTTAAACTGCTTTTAACCAATGTAGTAAGTGAGCTCACTACCTTAATTTACTTTAAGTCATCTCCTTGGTTAAAACATTTAGTATGTCCATCGAGGAAGAATTCATCACATCTTACCCTTCACAGTTATGAGTAATTAAGTGCTCAACTATGAAACTGCTAAATTACTACTGTCAGTGGGCATGGAAATGCTCTCCTGTGGGAGATAGAACATTTAGACATTTATGATTATTTTATTATGAAAAAACCAATACTGGACTATGACAGAGCCTTACTGTTAGTTAGTACATATTACTCACAGCACAGGACAGATCCTTCAAATTTCCTCCCTAATATTAACACAAATTCATTTCGTAAAGCAGATCTTGAGATCCGACTGTTAGGAAACAAGGCAAAGCCATGCCGCTGGTCTTAAAGACCGACAGTTGACAGCAATGAGCTGACGGGATTGCTCTGTCTGCCCTTCTGCCACCCCACCCCCAAGCCCATTTATTTGCTACTCCACCACGGAACTGAAATTCTTTATGCAACAGACCTCAAAATTGCTTTCCACTTACATAGCTAAACTAAAAACTCATTTGATTTAGCTTTGTTAATATTTTATTATAGTCTATATTAACTGGGGATAAGACTTACCAGCTTGATTGATGTGTGTACTTAATTCTCAGGCAGTACTTGAGAGCCTGCCCTAGAAGAGCTGAAACTATGGGTTCCTCTGCATTTCCCTAAACGGGAATGAGCTCTGCACTAGGCTGGAGAAGATGGCTTCTCTCCAGGAAACAGTTCCTGCTTCTACCATTCTTCTCTGCACAGCATGAGCTTTACGGAATCTTTTTTAAAAACTTTATTCTTTATTTATTTATTTTGAGAGAGAGTCTCACTCTGTCACCCTGGGTAGAATGCCATGGTGTCATCATCATAGCTCACAGCAACCTCAAACTCCCAGGTTCAAGAAATCCTCCTGCCTCAGCCAGCCCAGTAGCTGGGACTATAGGAGCCTGCCACAATGCCCAGCCAGCTTTTCTGAATCTTTGAAGAGCCAAGGCATATTCAGGATGGCCTGAGAGGTAAAGGTTTATAGGGCACAGAATAGAAGACCTTTTATATATGGTTAAATATTTTTTAAAATATTAAAAATAGATACCCAATACTTGGGAGTATTTTTATACTCGTTAGGGCAGCCGTTCTTAAACTGTAGACTGCAATCCCTTTGTAATAATGAAAATATATCCTGCATATCAGATATTTACATTATGACTCATAACAGTAGCAAAATTACAGTTACGGAGTAGCAACAAAAATAATTTTATGGTTGGGGGTCAACACAACATGAGGAACCATTATTAAAGGGTCACGACATTAGGAAGGTTGAGAACCACTGTATTAGGGCAACAAAAGATGATTACTAGTTACTTACTGTGGTTTGAAATGTGTCCACCCAAATTCATATGTTAGGAATTTAATCCTCGATGCAACAGTGTTGGGACCTTTAAGAGGTGACTAGGTTATGAAGACTCTGCCCTCATGAATTAGTTAATCCTGTTATTGAAGTGGGTTAATTACTGCAGGAGTAAGTACCTGATGGAAAGTTTTGAGTTTGACCCCTCTCCCTCTCTCACTCGTGTACTCTCTTGCCCTCCCACCACGGATAACACAGCAAGAACCCATCACTAAATGTGGGGCCCTTGACCTTGGACTTTCCAGTCTCCAGATGTATTAGAAATACATCTCTGTTCTTTTTAAATTACCCAGCATCAGGTATTCTGTTATAGCAGTACAAAAGGACTATGTTAGTTGTTTTTGGTACCAGAAATAATGCATCAGTAGAAAAATCTAAAAATTTTCTAACTATAAGCCCATTAAAGTACAGAAAAAAGGCACAAACAAGGCCCAGAATCTCTGGCTGTAGGTTTTCATGCATGAAGGAAAAACTATAAAAAAAAATTCTAGCCAGGGAGTTGTATAAAATCTGAGGCAGTGTCGTGAGAGAAAGCTAAGGTGATAATTTAAATTCAGAGGCACCGGGTATTAATGAAAGAGACCTGAAGGAACACCAAGTCCAACATGCCCCATTTTACAGAGGAGGAAATCACCCTGAGATTTTGGCTGCAATCAATCACACAAACCATGAAGAGACAGACCCAGTGCTGGAACCCAGGACTTCTGAAACCCAACCTAGCATCTTCTATATGCAGGCCCACCTCTGAGATACTGCAGGTTTGCTTCCAAACTGCTGCAAAAGGGTATCACGGTGGAGCAAATCGCACTATTTTTTGTTTTCCAATGCATATGAAAGTGCATATATGTGCACTATTCTGTAGTCTATTAAGTGCTCCGTAGCATTATGTCCCAAAACAAATGTATATACCTTAATGAAAAAATACTTTCTTCCTAAAAAAAAAAAAAAGCTAATGATCATTTGAGCCTTTAATAAGTTGCAATCTTTTTGCTAGTGGAAGGTCCTGCCTTGCTCTTGATGGCTGCTGACTCATCCGAGTGGTGGTTGCTGAAGGTGGGGGCAGCTGTGGCAATTTCTGAAGATAAGACAATGAAGTTTGCTCCACCAACTGACTCCTCCTTTCACAAAAGATCTGTGTAGCATGTGATGCTATTTGATGGAATTTTACCCATGGCGGAACTTCCACAATTAGAGTCAAGCCTTCAAGCCCTCCTATTTCATCAACTAAGTTCAACTAAATCTTTTGTTGTCATTTCAACAATGTCTACAGTACCTTCCAGGAATAGGTTCATCCCAAGAAACCACCTTCTTTGCTCATCCATATGTAGCAACTCCTCATCCACTCATGTTTTCTCATGAGATCGCAGCAATACAGGCATGTTTTCAGGCTCTAATTCTAGTTCTCTTGTAATTTCCACTATGTCTACAGTTACTTCCTCCCACTGAAATCTCAGAGCTCTCAAGGTCATCCAGGATAGTGGAATCAACTTCTTTCAAACTCCTGTTACTGGTGATATTTTGACTTCCTCTCATCAATCATGATGTTCTTAATGGCATCTAGAATGGTGAACCCTTTTCAGAAGGTTTCCAACTTACTTTGCCCTGATCCAGTCAGAGGAATCACTGTCAATGGAAGCTATAGCATTACAAAATATATTCCTTAAATAATAAGACTTGAAAGTTGAAATGACTCTTTGATCCATGGGCAGCAGGATGGATGCTGTATTAGCAGGCATTCAAACACATTAATCTCCTGGTACATTTCCATCAGAGCTCTTGGGTCACCATGTGCATTGTCAATGAACAGTAATATTTTGAAAGGAGTCTGTTTTGGTTTTTTGAGCAGCAGGTATTAACATTGGGCTGAGACTATTCATCAGACCATGCTGTAATGCTGTAAGTAGATGTACTGTCATCCAGGCTTTGTTATTCCATTTACACAGTACAAGAGTAGATTTAGCATAATTCTTAAGAGCCCCAAGATTTTTAGAATGGTAAATATGGGAACTGGCTTCAACTTACAGTTGCCAGCAGCATTAGCCCCTAACAGGAGAGTCAGTCTGGCCTTTGCAGGTTTGAAGCCAACCACTGAATTCTCTGTAGCTATCAATGTCCTAGGTGGTATCTTGTTCCAATAGTAGGCTGTTTTGTTAACATTAAAAAGCTGTTGTTTAGTGCAGGTACCTTCATTATCTTAGCTAGATCTTTTGAGTAACTTGCTATAGTGTCTACCTCAGCCCTTTGCACTTCTATGCAAATTTATGGAGATGCTTCTTTCCTTGTATCTCACACCATCCTCTGCTAGCTTCAGCTACCTCACCTCTCCTTATCTTCATAGAACTGAAGAAAGTTAGGGCTTTGGATTCAGGGAATGCTGTGGTTGGTTTAATCTTCTACCCAGACCACTAAAACTTTGTCCATATTAGCAACGAGGCTGTTTCACTTTCTTTTCATTTGTGCTTTACTAGAGTCGCGTTTTTAATTTCCTTCACTAATTTACCTTTGCACTCACAACTTGGCTAAGTGTTTGGCACAAAAGCCATAGCTTCTGGCCTATCTTGGTTTTGGACATGCCTTCCTCACTAAATGTAATCATCCCTACCTTTTGATTTGAAGTATGTACGACTCTTTTGGGGAAACAGCTGGCTGGTAAGAGCA